GATGAAAAGTTTAATGATAATCCGATCAAGATATATTATAAATAAAATTGATTTCTTTTTCAAAAAATTTTATCGATCGATATAAAGGGTTACTTATTATATTTTTCCTTTATCATCAAAAATCGAATAGACAAAAAAATTTTCTGTTGTTGTTGTTTTCATAATTGATGGCATCATCATATATGGTTTCAGGTTACATGTTTCGGACGATATTCATATCATTCTAGAATCATTGTATTTGATCGTTTGGAATTGACTCAAAAATATCATTACACAATTATGATCTCTAATTATACATTATTATACATCCTAATCATCTGGGTAAATTGATTAGCTTCAAAAATGGTTCGTAATTTAACCTTGAATCCCGATCAAACAATTTTGGTAGTTTTTAAAACATGGGATCAATCCGAAAATACATTACATTCGATGATAGAACAGGACTGAAAAAAATGATGTGTATTACAAAATGATACCCTCCAACGATACAAACTTTCTCGTAATACTTTTCAGAAAAAAAATGTTGCAACAACAGAGAATGTTGATCAGGGATTCAAAAAATTGTTTAGATGTTTTTCTCTTTCATTCATTTAGTATGTGAGGCGAATGTGGAACACTTTTATCATAATTTTTTTTTGTTGCTCAATTCAAGGTTGAATCCATATTAAATACGCCTGGTAATACATTCTTTTTCACATAGATAGACATTAGCAGACAAATAATATTATCATCCAATCAACTACTACTACATACAAAAGAAACAAATGAAGATTCACTACTACTACCAGATTACAACCAGAAAAAATATGGAAATGACATTTTTGGCTTCCCAAAAAAAAATCTTTAAAATCTAAAGATTATTTTCTTTAAAAAAATATTTCGTTCATGTTTCGTTCAACTGTTGAAAATACCAACAACACCAAAAAAAACTTTCTTTTCAAAATTATTTATTTAGGTTTTACGGGTTTCTTGCAGTGGTTTGTTTTTTTCGTGTTTCGTTCGGATGATTTTCGACTTTGTTTCGATGTAAATATATGATTGATAAAATGGCAAAAAAAAACAGAACCGAAAACAAAAACAAGTAAAAGCTGAACGTTTGCCAAAAAAACATCCATTCAAAAGTATTTCTTTCCTCATCAAGATGATGATGATGATATGTTTGTGTAATAAATGTTCAAACACAAGTGGATAATGATCCCGAATTGAAATTGTTCATTTATGTCTGCACAATTAATGAAAAATAATTTTTTAAAAAATACTAATAATAGTATACACCCTCATTATACAAATTGTCCTTGATTAATTTAATAAATCTATAGATTTGTAAGCTATTCCAAACATGCGTTATTATTATTATTCATTTTTGTTTCACTGATATTGACAATGTTTAAAAAAAATTATTATTTAATGAAAAATGCTTCGAATCGATCGAATCGATATCGCCAACAAACATTCAACTTTTTTTTCATACTAAGTTTAACAAATATTCTGACCATGTTTCTAATAGGATATATTTCCTTTAAAATTATCTAACAAAATTCCCTTTAAATTTTGTTTTGAAAAAATGCGAGAATTCAAGGTAACACATCAGTACACGATCTCACAAATATTTTCCTTTTTTTTCAAGGTAAACACAATGACATTCACACTCTTATGTTCGTCAAAAAAAATGTTAGAAACTATTTCTGCTTTTTTTCATAGATCTCAATGCAACCAATATGACAAGGAAAAAATCATTTTCTTTTTCATTTGAAATGTTTTTTTTTGTTGTTTACAACAAATAACGTCAACCAATAAGGTTGTTGGCATTTTACGTTTTATGGTTTGTGTGTGTATTGTTGTGGTTGCATTTTGTAATTTATTTTCGTTGTTTTTCATTACCAGTTCAGAATTAAAATGAAAAAAACCAAAGCCAAATAATAACCGGCTGCCAAATCATTATAATGTTATAATGTTATTCGAAATAATTAAGTGAAAATAGAGAATAAAATGAACAATATTCATCAGAAAAGAAAAGAAAAGATCATCATTTAGATAGGAAAATAAGTAACAAAACATATTGATGGGCGCCTCTCTAAATTGATCAAATATTAAGTTCTCTACACTACACCCACCCTATAGGATTATTGTGTTGTTGTTGTTGTTTATGTCGTACGGCCTGTTTGATTGGTTTTATCGTCATTTTTTCCATCAAATTTTCTTTGGATCGATTCCAGACTTTTTTCTATTCACTGCATGTACTTGGTTTTTTTACTTCATTAATGAAATTATTGTTTTCGTTGTTGTTGTTGTTATTGTTGCTGATTCCAATGAATGACGAACTAGACAAAAAAGCAACAAGAAAATTCTTCAACCATCCATCGTTGCATATGTTTGTACTTGTAGAAATTTTTACGACGCGCCCTATACACACGCCAAAAGTGCATAAAACTCATACCGAACATCAACATTTATCATGATTTTTTTGCCTATATGGTGCCCAGTTTTTTTTCAATGAATTTGGATTTGACGCAATGGAATGATGATGATGGTGATGATGTCCTGTTCCACACAACACAAACAAAACGGGTAAAATATTCACATTGTAAAGGGTGGATACAATCATTGAAATAGCTTTACTTATAACTCTTGGTATTATTTCTTTGAGAGTGAATCCGTGGGTGGAGGGATGGATGGATGGATGGTGGGCTAATCAAAAATCCAAACAGAAATGGCCCATCCACCAACACTCTTCTCATAGTTGTTGATGATCGAATCTGTATGAACTGTGGAAAAAGTTATTGTTTGGTTGTTATTGGGTTTCAAGGTCAATGTGTGCGTCGTCGTCATCATCGTCCATAGTACATTGTCATTCTGGATATGGCAGCCATCATCATTATTAAGGTTGGTAATGGTAATGCGCCTGACTGAATGATCATCGTAATAAAACCAATAATCTCGCGATACAAGCAAAAAGGAAAATGTTTGTTGATGATGACGATCATCAAACTCTCTATTTCTCTTTTTCTTTTGCTTTCTCTCGCCCATACAACCAAAGGCACAATGATCGAAAACTTGCAGTTCTTACTTATTCTGTAATTCCAAACAAACAATAACGTTTCATGTTTTTCTCTTTTTCAATACCAAATGAACAAATTACATTGACAGTGCCATCTATCAAGGATTCAGGAACCTATCTGTGAAATTTTTTCTGGTTAAATTTTATTTTTTTCTTTAACTATTCCAACTTAGGTACAATAGAAAACTAAATGAGCACAATGACATCGAAAAAAATCATTTCATTAAATTTAGAAAAAAAGTTAATATGAAAAACTAATCAATCATTTAAAATGATATACACAATGGTGCAATGCAATAGTTGTAATATTTTTTTATTATAATTATTATTATCATTGTCAGCCACTAAGCAACGAGCGTTGATGATTGTTGAGTCTGTATCTATTATTGCAATTAATTAAATGATTTTTGTTGACTGAAATTTATTTTTCTTTTGAATCAATATTGTTTGTCTGTAAAAATATCGAATGACAATGAAGATGATGATGATGATATTACAAGATCGAATTCCAATTTTAAATCCGGATATTGAATATTTATATCATTGATTGTCATTGAATAGATTTATTTATCCATGACGATTATCAATTTGTTTGCTATTATGAATTCATGATAAATTCAATCAGTTTTGTTCATTCATATGTAAATAATAACATTTATCGTTTCATTGACATTTATTTGCCTTGACAATGTCATTAATACAATTAACATTTTTAATGTTTATTATGATGAATATCATATAACAATGATTACGATCTTTATATTTTATTTTATTACATATTATTCATATAGCGAGAGTGTATGTGTGTGTTCCACATTGTTTGGAACTAATAAGTTTTTTTCTTCCAAGTTTGCCATTGAACTTTTTTGAAAAGAATTGTTTCATTTAATCGATTGATTACGGATGAAGCTATACTACGCGCATATGATACCATCTAGTGTTGACGATTATTGTCATTTGAAATCTGGATCCTTCAACAAATAATAAAAAAAACCAGGCATTGCATTTATTGGCCATTTTTATTGTTACGGATCCTTTGTTGTTATCGCTAAAAATAAACACGTAGTCAGTCAACCTGTTGTGATAGTTTAATTTTAATTTTTTATAATTTTCTATTCATCGACCAATTTTTCTTAGAAAATCATCATTATATTGATCCATCATCAATGATCGGCTTTCAATGAAGGTGTTTGTTATCGATACGATATTTCTTTAATTTACAATAATCTTTTTTATGTTGATTAATGAATCGATTCATTAATTGACAACGACAACAACGATCATTATCTATTTCCAATGTCATTTGATAAGCAAAGGTTAATGAACGTATCAAGCTTATATTATTATCATTTGGTTACCCGAAAATCAATGAAATAAATAAAATTTTCTCATTAAACTTCATTGATCAAATACAGTGTTGATATTTTTTTTGTTGGCACTCATCAATAATCAAAGCATTTGATTATAACCAAGTAAGATAAATGTTATTAACTGCGATAACATTTTTTCATATTTTATTTTGATTAAAATATATCATCATATTGTTTTTCTAGATTTCTATTCTGATTAATCGATGGTAATTGTCTCGACTATCATTTATTAGTTATAATCATGTCGAGCCTGATATCTTCTTTCTGTCATGTGAGTTTATTTATAATTTTTTGCATATCATCAAACAATCAAACTTTTTTGATTGATTAATCAATCGATCAATAGATTTTAATCTGAAACAGTGAAAAAATTCCAAATCTAATGATAACCTCTTTCAACATTTGTGAAGAATAAATTCAATTTTTTCCGGACCATATTATCATCAATATTATCATCAACACAGTTAAGTGAGTGGTTACAATCAAATCGATTTTCAAAATATCCTCAATATGTGTTGACATGCTAATCGAAAAATGAATGAAAGTCTAAATGAACATATGATTATGCGAATGTTACAAAGTTCAAGATAAACCTATTGATGCCTATTTTTTAATACTTTCTGTTAAAACCTATATTACAAAAATGAAAATATATCCATTCATAACGATTCTCTTTACATGGTCATTGTATTGGCCTTCAACAATGAATGTCTATTGTGCCAATATCAATGATGTCGATGTCAACACGCTCAAACTTGTCATTTTAGTATGTAGTTTGATGATCATCAAATGAGAAAACGTTAATTTTCTTTTCTTTTCTCTAATTTGATTAACGATTATAGATTCATCGTCATGGTGATCGAACACCGATCGAAACATATCCACGTGATCCTTATCGTGATGGTTCAAAATATTGGCCTGATGGCTGGGGCCAATTGACATCGGTACTGTTTTGTGTATAAATTGATTGCAATACAAATTGAAATTTTTGTAATTCAAAAATTTAGAATGGAAAAAATAGAATGTACAATTTAGGATTATATCTATCTAAACGTTATAGCAATTTTCTTGGCCAAACACCGCATGAAGTATCTATTCGTAGTTCAGCATCTGATCGTTGCCTGGAAAGTGTTGAATTAATTCTCGCTGCATTATATCCGCCTGTTGGACGATGGAAATGGAATGATAATTTTGGTCAAAAATGGCAACCATTTCCCATACAAACAGTTCCACATGAAAATGATGGGGTAATTTTATTTTTGATCATCTGAATTGTTTTCCAAACATTAATCTTCCAATCGATAGATGTTATATCCAGAATCTAAATGTAGAAAAGCCGAACGAATTGAAGCGGATATATATAAATCGGAACCAGTCCTCAAATATTATAATCAAATGAAGGTAAACAATAATTGTTATTCAAAAAAAAAATTATCAAAAATTTTTATTAATTCGAAATTTTTTTTCAATTCACAGTCAACATTATTATATGTACAAGATAATACTGGTTATGAAAATGTTGATCTTATAAAAGCGGAAGAAATATTTGATTCATTATTGATTGAAAAGATGAATGGTTATAAATTACCAGCTTGGGTTGATTCGAATGTATTTGCTAAACTTAAAGATATTGCCGATAAAACATTCATATTCGCTGGAATGACAAGAGAGATTCAAAGATTTCGTACCGGATTACTACTATCCAATATATGGCAACATATTTCCAATCATGAATCTGTGGATAATGATGAACGTCGTCTTTATATCTATTCGACGGTATATTTATCTGTAGCCAACCGAACTGAATTTATTTTTTTTTAATTTTTTTAGCATGATAACCAATTATCCGTTTTTATGAGTGCATTGAACAATTTCAATGGTTTATCACCACCATTCGGATCATCGATTATGATCGAGATACATCATAATCATACGAACGAACCATTTATCAAGATGTTTTATTTGAATGAAACTGAAAAAGAAAAACCTTATCCTCTAGAATTGAATGATTGCATACGAATCGGATCGAATCAGGACCATTGTACCATTTCAAATTTTTACGAAACAATCAAAGATCTATTACCAGACAACTGGGATGTTGAATGTCAGAATCAATCACAATCTACCGAAGCTGATCGTATGTATCGAATCAGAATAAATTTTAGAGATTTTAAATTAATTTTTTTTAATAATTTTTTATTTGCAGCATTAAGTATTTATCTACTTTTAGTCACCATTTCATTGACCATATCTGTAATGTTATTTTTTATATATCTAATTTTAAACCACCGACGTTATGGATCATCATATCGATTGTTACCCATAAATAGTTGATATTTAAAATAAGTGATAATTGAAAAATTGTTTTAAAAATTTTTATTTATTTTCTTTTGAATAAAAAATAATAAATCAATATGAAAAAATGCCAAAAGTAATACCTGTGTGAAAATTCAGAAAAAAATAAACAAAATTAATGATTTGAATAAAATTAAATCAATAAATTGAACAACAAAACAAAGAAATCAGTGTAACTATGACTTTCATTAATCATGTGTTTGTTTACAGAAATTCTGTAAAAACATTCAATCATGATTGATGTGTTTTTCATCCTAAAATTTTATATTTTAATTCTCCTAATCGGAGATACACTTACCATTTGAAATCTTAAATTCTTTGATTCCTGTACATTGTTCTAAATACCCTGTGCATGAAATAGAATGAAAAAGTAAAAATTAACAAAATGCTGAATTACAATTGAATTTGTGGAAAAAAAGAATGTTTTCAGAACGCTGTGGGAAATATGTATAGACTAATCAGAGATATTTGTCATAAACAATGAACATGAATTATCATCAGATATTGAGGAAAAAGAGAGAAAAGAATAAATTATTTGCTTACCTTTGTCGAATAAGAAAAAAAGATCAGCACGAATAATTATTTTGGTTGATTATTACTCGATTGATCCAGTCCGTTAAACTTATTACGAACGTTTTAATTTTCTATGTTATATCTCGGTTCGGAACAAGTTTAACAGAATGGAATCGAGTTTTGTTGTTGGAATACGTCCAAAAAGGGGATAACAAAGTAAATTAAGCAAATATCAATTAGACAAATGACTTTTTGAATTTATCATTTCATTTCGACAATATTCTATAAATCAGAGCATTTCAAGAATCACATTGAAGCATACATTGTGTTTGCTTCAATCGTTGAGAGAGTTTATTCATCATCTTAAATAGAATATTGAAATCGAACGAGCGTTTGATTAATTGGAAAAATGATAAATCTCAAAAAGACCATAGTCAATTTAATTTGCAGGGAGAAAATGAAAAGGGAAAAGTTTGGACATAGCAAAAACAAACCTCGATTCCTCAAAACGAACAATTTTGATGGAAAAAGCAAATGGCAAAATATTTATTAGATTTTCGGATAATTTTTTAATGTCATTATAAAAAATATGAAAATGATCAAATTTTAATGCTTATTTTCCTTTCTTGGCTTTAATTTTTCGCAGGTAGAATTCCAACTCTTTTCCTTCGAGAATGTAGCCATCAGCACGACCAACTTGACCCGGACGAGAGGAAAGACAAGCTATATAAATATTTGTTGATAAGAAAAATAGTTGAAAAATGAAATCAATAATTTGGTACCAAAAAATTATAATCCAAACAAGGTGGATTGGTGCATGTGTGCATGCCTTACACATGGATCGATATAATACAAGTTAAAATCGATTCAAAAGCAAAAACTTACCTAAAACACGACCAGTCATAAATTGTTCTTCAAGTGCCTGTTCAACTTTGGCATACTTTTGACGAAGCTTATATTTCGAATGTTCAGCCTTGGCAGCCATTTGATCGGCAACTTCTTGTTCAGCTTGAGTCTAAATGGATAAAAATTAATTATTAATATGGAAATGTCGGCTTAATTAATAAACTAAATCAATCATCATTTCAGAAAAAATTTCATCTATCATAGGTTATTCAGCCGAAAGATGGTATATATAGATTTGCTCATCATTAGCAAAAGAAACATTTAGAAATATTGGAAAATAACACTCACCAATTTGACTCCTTTTTTACGACCCATCATCATTGCATAATGGCCTTCGTACCATGTTCGAAACGGTGTAGCATCGATAAGAACAATACAATTCTTGACCAATGTTTTAGTACGAACCAATTCGTTATTAGATGAATTATAAACCACATCTACAATACGGGTCTTACGTGTACAATCTAACAGATAAAGAAAGGCGAAATAATTATCAACTAAATAAAATTAAATCAAATTTATTACGTTCAGAAGCCCAAGAAAAATTGCCATGATCAAGACGTAGGGCACGATGTTTACAATTTCCACCACGTGTACGAACCAAATGAATTCGCTTAACACCAATCTGTGAAACAAATGAAATTATTAGTGAGAAATAATTGAAAATAAATTAGCAGATAATTTCATAAAGCTCAGGTAGAATGGATATAATTTCATCAACAAAAATGATTGCAGATGACACGCATGAAATTCATCATTAAATTTACAAGGAACTAAATCGCAACATTTCAAAATTTTGATCGAAAAATTCTTACCTTGGTATTAGCTGCTGGGCGTCCCAATTCGAACTTACGCTTCTTGCGAATTGGTTTACGTTTGCCACCAGTAGCTCTTCGTTTATGCCAATGATTACGTGAAATACCTGAACACAAAAATCAGAAATCGAAAAGAAATATGAGAATACAAGTCGAGCATGGCCAACATGACTATATTTTTGATCTTTTTCATTGCAAAAATAAATAAAACCTAGCTAAATTAATGTCTAACAGTAAAAACGTTTCTTATTGATTAATTTGAGACTAATTTCAAGAAAAAATTCGGGCCCTAACATCGATAAATCATGAAAAAGATCGGAGAAATGGTCAAACATGCTTACCCATGTTGAACTCACGCCGGAAAAGGCTAAAGCATGCAGTCGACTTTTTCTTTGCAGCAGTCTTCCTTTCGACGCGGCTGGAAACGTGAGCATGCTCATTATTGGATATCGATAGAACCATCTATCGTTCAATGCTCGAAATTGAATCTAACTATTGTGGTTGAAATAGAGTGTGCAATGAATTATGTTAAAATAGTTTCGAATGATTGTTATTGAACTAAATTGTTTCGATCTTCTAATTTTGTTGAATCTTCTCTTTTATAAAAATTTTAGCTTTGAATATGATTAAATTGTCATCTGGACACGACAATAAAACGAGCAAAAATAGTCATAAAAATGGAACAGCTCATGAAAAATCAGCACGTGAGAAGAATCCTGCGTCAAGCAGTACAATTGTGGCTCATTTTGGCGCCGATTCCGTTAAAATGATTGCTGAATCTAATGGTATCGCAAATTTATCCGATGATGCGGCTAGATTCCTTGCAGATGATATTACAATGAAGCTGAAATGTGTAGCTCAAGATGCTATGAAGTTTGTCGTTCATGGTCGACGTACGATGATATCAGTTTCAGATATTGACCATTCGTTAAAACATAAAAATATTCCGCCTATGTTAGGTTATACAGATAAAGAGTTGCTTCCATTCCGCTTTGCATCTGGTGGTGGAAGAGAATTATATTTTCAAGAAGAAAAAGAAGTTGATCTTCCTGATATACTTGGCATGTCTTCGTTGGCCAAACTGCCTCAAGATGTAGCGATCAAATGTCATTGGCTAAGTATTGAAGGCGTTCAACCGGCCATACCAGAAAACCCTCCACCATTATCGAAAGATCGTCTTCGTTTAGATGGTATTGATCCATCAATGGTTTTGAAGCTTCAAAACACACCCGGTATTCAAACTAATAAATTCATTACACAAAAACCGAAGAAAATGGTCGAAGTTATCAAGGTTAAACAATATGCCACTCATGAATTATCGATGGAACAACAGCTATATTATAAAGAGATAACTGAAGCCTGTGTTGGTTCCGATGAAAGTCGACGCATCGAAGCCCTTCAAAGTTTAACTTATGATTCTGGATTACATCAAATGCTTCCTCGATTATGTACATTCATCTCGGAAGGTGTCAAAGTCAATGTTGTCCAAAATAATTTAGCTTTGTTGATCTATTTGATGCGAATGGTTAAAGCCTTGCTAGATAATCATAATTTGTATCTGGAAAAATATCTTCACGATCTTATACCAACGGTATTGACATGTGTTGTATCCAAACAGTTATGTTTACGGCCCGAACAGGATAATCATTGGGCATTAAGAGATTTTGGCTCTCGTTTAATGTCGCAAATCTGTAGAAATTTCAATACAAATACAAATAATATTCAAGTTCGTGTTACTCAATTATTGAGTCATTCATTAGACAAAGAACGTATTGCTTTATCATCTTTATATGGTGTGATTGCCTGTTTATGCGAAATGGGACCCGAAGTTCAACGAGCTTTTCTACTGAAACGTGTCAAAATGATTGGCGATCGTATCCGTACCAATGTGGAAGGTATGAACATCTCGTCTGCTGATAAGGCCGCTGCTGGCCATATTGAATCACTCATACTTCGAAATTTACCAACGACCATTAAGAATCTACGTTCACCTCCTGACATCGTTGAAGAGTATCGTCAAGAATATGGATATCTAGGTCCACAATTACATATGGCTGTCGTAAACCAACGTTCAAAAGAGGGATCAAATACACATCGAATCAATAGTAATAGCAATTAATATTTCATTGAATAACTCTTAACAATTTTATTTTACAGTTTCAGGTAATACTCAATCGACGAGTGGTTCAAACCTTCCGTATCGTCGTGTGAATAATTTATCATCAGTTTCGACGTCCCAACAAGCAAAATATACTATCATTTCGTCAACACCTGGTTCATCCACCGTCGGATCTGCAAGTGGAAGCAGTACTGGATCGGGTAATGTAACGATGTATCGAATGATTCCAGCCACACAAGGTGGTAGCGTTCAAACGTCCATTCGAACTACGGGCTCTACAACAGGTCATCCACATCAATATATAAATATCAAAACTGTTCAACAGCAATCCGCAAGCAACATGCCTCCCCCACCACCAACGTCTTCCTATTCAACATCATCTTCTTCATCATCGTTTAATCATCCAAATTAGCTCGAATTGAAAATTACATCAATCAAATTGATATTTTATATTAACAAATTTAATCACTCATTGTGGATAACTCATCGCTATTGCGACTGTATACAATTATTTCCCAATATCGACATAAATCTTTGTAAAACTATTATCATTATAATTCAATCGCATTATCAATTAATTAATCGATCTCGTATATTTATTCAACTGAGAATCTATCCTCTTTGAATAATATTTTGGTAAATAGATTAAAACAGTCATTTGGTTGTATAAATGTATGTACATGTATGATACATGGAACAGTTTCAATTAATAACAGATTCCTGTACAATTCGTTTCTGTTTTTAATGTAGTAAATATGAAGATTTTAGCTTTTTTCAAAAGATCATGGTGAATTTCGAAATTTTAGAATGCTTGTAATTAAACATTTTACACGGTTTCTTGTAGAACGCAGACCATCTTGTGTGTGTTAATGTCAGGATAGTAATTTGTTGTTGTTGGCCGCAATTGTTGAAGACAATGTGATGAATGATTTATCCAATTGATTGATGTCATCGTTGATCGTTTGTAATAGTTGGCAACTTGTTTGTAATGATTTTTGTGTGGACAACAAATGTCGAATGATTTGGCTATAGTTTTTTTCAGCGAACAAATATGGTGAACAGGACACTTTGATTAAGTTTCGTTTAACCTGTTCATTACTTTCCTCTGTTAATGTGTTGAAAATCAAATCAAATCAAATGGTCAAAAAGCTCAAAATAAATACTTACTTAACAATGAATGTAGAAGGCTGTTTTTACAAAATGGCATTGAAATAAGTACATGGGCGAATTTATGATCATAAAACAAGATTGATGAAATCAAATTGAACAACAATCAAATTTGATTTAGATTAAATAATCAAACATAAATCATTCTACTTACGAATTATTTTGATGACAATGTGTCGTCATGGAATCTGAAGATGAAAAGAAAATATTTGTTTAAATAATTAGATAAATCATCATTCACAAATTTACCTTTTAAAATGGGTCGATTTTGAGTCTCCGATGTTAATATTGATGATGACATCGATATTGTACATTTAGATCCGTTTTGTTGTTTGATTAACGCATTGTCGATTGTCATTTTGGTCGCATTAGTTTCGGTCATGCTGTGTTGTTCATGACCAATGGAACTAGTAAATGTTTGTTCAACACCTTCAGTGATTTCCTTCTCAGCAATAGTAACATCATCAATAATTTTAACCTGATCAGGTTGATCATCATCTGATTCGGAAGCTTCGCCAACAACAACAACAGCCGACAATTTATTATTGCTGTTGTTGTCTTTACGATGTACCGATGTCCTCAATTCTTTTGCATTATTATTATTACTACGACCAGATCTACGATGCATTGTTGCTATCAACGATGATGATAATGGTGTCTTGTTCGTCGTCTTCACAAATTCGAAAAAATATACAAAGGAACGAAAATCAAACATACAAGAGCAAACAAATGAGCAAATATCATTGATTAAAAAAAATAATGGTACAAATAAAATAAAACAAATTTTGAATAGAAAAGGAGACATTTACCAAATGGGAAAACAAAAGCTTGATGCAAAATATTTATTGGGGAAGTGCTATAGTCGGTATTTGCCAAGTTTTTTCCCCTTTGCCGATAGTTATTTGATGTAATTCGATGAAGATGATGATGATGTCCTGATTAGCTTGACCTGCTGCTACTACGGGTCGTAAATGATCGTAAAACTAACATCAATGATAATAATAATAATAATAATGTGTGATGAATAAAAGATCAGAAAAAAACAAAACAAAAGTAAATACCTTTGTGAAAAAAGAAAGGGGAAAAAATTAGCACCCCAAGGGCCCGAATAAGATTATTTTTTTCACTTTAAACATCTCAACGCATCCATCAATAACAATCAAAAATTTTTTTTACAAGTGTGATAATAGCGATGTCGACATATATTTTTCTATCAGCCAGTTCCATAGATTCATGTATGTATACATTGGAAGGACGAATCATATAATCGATTGTCGCAACGATTATTTTTTTTCAACACGAGATTAATTGGCGCGAACAATTTTCATTTTTAAAAAATATATTAAATTTTTATTATTATTATTTAGTTTTTCATTCTTATATTACATAACAAAAGAATTTCAAACATTTTTTTTCATCTAATTAAAAAATAATAATTAAACCATGCTGAAAAAATTATAGTCTATAATAATAGAAACTTTTATTGCATAAATTTTCAGTAAATTAAAGGTGAAAAATTTTTTTTGATAAGCTTTTTGTTCTTTGCCGTTGGCCATCGGTGTTTATGAAATAATAAAGATAATGAATATTGTGGCTAATAAACTAAACATTATCATCATCATCATCATCATCAAGATGGTTATTATTTTTTTAGAATAGAAAAAACTACAAAATGAAAGTGAAAATGTTGTGAATATTTTCATTTTTTTTTTGCATAGATATGATATCCATTTATTCAATTATTCCAATCATCATCATCATCATCATCTTACTTCAGGACAAAAGGATAAACTGAACAAGAAAACAAAAACAAAATGTATGCCAGGGATATTGGAAAGTTGTTTGTTTTCTTTCTGTTTTGTTTTATGCGCTTAGTTAATACACGAACACACCAAGTCATATGATGATCACAGCCGCCGGTCAAAGATGAATAAATATTTGAATGTCCATCATCAATATGATCTCCATAAGGTGGATATTCAATTCAATTCAATCAAATCAATGGACGAATTTTTTTCGGTTTCATTTCGTTTGTCTTTGTGTGTCAGTCAGATTGTCCATTTTTTTTGTTTTGTTTCTTGATCATAAGATGTTCAATGTTTGATTGACAACATCATGCCGTGTGTGTGAATGTATGATGGACAATATAATTGTATTATACAATAGTCATCATCATCATTTTAGCTTTAGTTTTAGTAACCAACTGCTGTCAAGAAAATTCCCTTTTTATTTTTTGAAAAAATTATATAATATGTAATAATGTGAAAAAAGAACACTGAAAAAAAATTAATTTAATCAGCAAATATAAAATGAAATAAAATAAAATGTTTTGTCACTGCAGTAAGTGATTTAGATTTCTATTTCGTTATATTTTTCCGACGAAAAAATTTCCAATTTTTTTTGGCCTTTTTTTCATCCTACACAATTTTTTTCTTCTAGTTTTGAGTCAAAAAAAAATTTAATTAGGAAGTTGTATTTTTTCATCCTGAATCAATCATTTTACGAATTCAATGAAGGAAAGGAGAACGAATGTGTCATTTGAGAACAGAAGAAAAATTAAAACAGAAATTGATTGGATTATCCACTTTCGATTAAATAAAAAATTTCGATTAGTCATCATCATTATTTTTAATGAATAAAATAAAATCATTTTCAATATTTAAAGGTGTTCCACAATAATAATAAATCTCTGCTTTCAATAGACAATGATTGATCGATAAGAAAAAAAAAGGTAAAAACAACAACAACAACAACAAAAATCCAAACATCCATTCATCTTTTTTTTTTGCTTTAAAATATTAAACTTTAAACATTCAAATTATATTTGCGCCCATTCTCTCGATGTTCGTGCTTGTTGTGTTGGTGAATGATAAAATAATTCCTGAATTTTTTTTTCCCATTATTATGTCGATCATGATCAAGGCTGAATTGTTGTATAGTGTGTTGAATTAAGATTTTTCCTACCTAATTACGTTGAAAATAGTCAACGTTGGATCAAAATCGATTGAATTCTAAACAATTGAATGGGTGGTGTTGGTGATGATGATGATGATGAAGGGAGGTAATTTAGACTGACAAAAAAATGGCCTCGAAATTACAATTTTTTTTAAAAACAAAAATAGCTCGTCGATCATCATCATCTTCAAATGGTGAATAAAATTGATCAATTTTTTTGGTACTACAAATTAGAAAAAAATAAAATTTGAAATTTTAAACATCAACATTGGAAAAATTGATCATCATTATCATGTAGTATTTTGTTTTCACCAACCATTCAAAGCGCATTTTTTAAAAAACATGATCATTATTGATGCTTAATATATGTCATATTTTTATATTAATGATAATTGAAGAATCATCGATTTGATGAACGAATAGGTATAAAAAAAACAATGGATCGATTAGTTGAAATGTACGATTGTACAACAAACAATTGATCCTATTATTATCAATCATCAAATATGATTTCAATTCAATTCACATTTATCATTTGAAAAAATGCAATAATAATTGCCACACACACACACACACACACAACATTTCCATGATGTTGATATCAAAACATGAACACACAAAAAAAATCCAATGCAATATATGAATCATTGAATTGATTTAAATTGTATTCACATCGACAACATGCTGATGCTGATGATGATGATGATGATGATCATAACCCGGTTGGTTATAAACAATCATTTACCTATCTTTATATAATTATAAACGTTTATAAATTTCAAGATTTCCGTTGTAATAAATTTATTCTTTTTTTTCGATTTGATGCTTAACCAGGATCGAATGATGATGATCACCACCAACAGTGGTGATTTATCCTTTTTACGTTGATTACAATGAATGAATGACAAACGTTTCCATTCACTTTCGTTTGATCATCATCTTTAAAACCAAATCTTTTGTGAAATAAAAAAAAATAGGATATTTTTGACATATAAAACACGAAAAGATTGTCTTTCTCTTTCTTCTACTCTTCGTGTATGCATTGACTTTATGAGCATCATCATCATAATCATAATGGTCAAAATGGATTTAGAGAATTTTGAATAATAATTTCCATATTATCAAATACCAACTGCTGCTGTCAAAGAGGAAAAAAATTGGTAAAAACAAAACGAAACAAAAATGAACACACATTTTGCATGGAGATATATTGGACAGAAAAAATTATTTTTCTTTCGGAAACGAATGATCATTTGATGTTGATTGTTTTTTTTTGTTGATGATGTTTGTCTGTTGTTTTGATGATAGATCAAATATAAAAATCAGTTATATTCATTTTTTTTGATGTTTAACAAGTGTAAATACATCGGTTTTCATTTCATTCGGTTGATTTTCCGACATTATCATCATTGTATTATTAATTTTTTTTTTGTTGATAAAAATTGATTGTGTAATGATGCCAGAAAATCATTCTTGTCATCGATCACCGTTTTTCTCATATGAACAAGTGTGTGTTTCGATTGGTTCGAAAAGTTATACCTGTCAGGAAAATATATACGGAAAAAAATACATTTCTCCCAAGCCTTTTTTATTGAATTTTTTCATGTGTGTGTGTATATTGAATATAATTTTCAAATTTTTTCCAATATAAATCCTAATATGTCGATAATAATAATAATAAAATTTGTAATCAATTTTTTTCGCACATTGAATATTGATGAAAATACGGATTTAATGCATGAAAAGATTATTTGTAATCAGAAAGAAAAAGAAAAAAACTATAATAAAAGAAAAATAAAATTTCAACAAATGAAATGGCAATGATTTATGATCATGATGATCATCATCATTCAGGAATCATCATCAACCATAATATGTTTAGATTTTGTTTTCATTTTTCTATTTGTTTGATTACATATTTCTCATTCAAACTAATAATTGATATCCTGCAATTTCTTTTTTTTATGATCCCTTAACAAATAAAACATTTTAATTAATCTTTATATGATCACAATAAAAAAAATGAAATAGAATAATGGTCATGATTATCAAAAATATTAATTTCAACAAATATATCGGTATACGATTGAATTAATTCAACATCTGTTATTGATATTCTTATTTTCTTTGAATACGTCATTTTCTTCCTCATTCTTTGTTTTGTTTTTCTATATCAAATTTCAAAACAATTATTATTATCCTGTCAAGAATAATGATAATTATTAGGATAGATGATATATCATCAAAAGATGTTCATCTAAAATTAGCATTGATTCATGTATATAATTGATAATAATATTCATTTCATTTTTATTTAGATCATTTTTATGAACAAAGAAAAAAAATTGTAACAGAAAACAACAACAACAACGAATGACAACATAATTGGATGGACAATGAGCATTTAGATGCCATACACACTATCATTTGGTTGTTTTGGCTGTTTGTTCTGTCGGTCGGTCGAGAATTCAATTATTATCAATGTAAAAAAAATATAAGTATAACCAGTCGTTATTGTTATTAACCTCGAAAGAGTGGCCAGTCAAAGTAACCACAAAATTATTATGAAAAAAAATACAGTTAGACATGTTTTTTTGTTTTGCTGAATAAATTGTGAATAAAAAATCAACTTTTTTTTGTTAGTTGAATGATGATACCCGAAATGATCTGATCTAAAAATGAAAAATGGATGATGATGATGATTTGCTGAATTATCATCACGTTCAGCTCGTCAACCAAGATGGTAACCAGCAAAAAAAACATCATAATTTTGTTGTTGTTGTTGTTGATGATCATGGAATCAATAATCATTCTTTCTTCATTTTTTTCCTTAATGTTTTACTTGTCGAACGAATCATTCATGTTTCGATCATCATCATCATCATCGATTGTCGAACAAACAATAAATTAGAGATAAGATGATGATGATGATGAACTTGTGTGAATATTGATCACAATAATGATTATCTGTTGACATGGTATCAGTTCAGTTGAAGAAAAATGTTGCTAAGCTTAATTTGCATTGAATTTATTTATCTACCTAGTTTAACCTGAGTAGAAAAAAATGAACATTAACTAATTTGCATGATATTCCAGTGAAAATTGTAATTTATGATCTATCCAAGTTTTGAATTTCCCACCAACGCAGTTTCAACACACACACAAAAAAAAATGAAGAAATTCATTCCGGATTCGGATTGAAGACAAAATAAAAATTTTTTATTCAAAAATAAAAAAAAGACC